GGCGGTAGACATGGGTCTATCTGCAGTTTTCTACACCATCATCCAGTTGTGCCAGCACCACTTGTTGAAGATGCTTTCCTCCTCTCATTGTATACTTTTAGCTGTTTTGTCAAAAATCAGGTGTTCATAGGTGTGTGGGTTAATATCAGGATTTTCAATCTGATTCCATTGGTCTACCTGATTATTTTTGTGCCAATACCAGGCTGTTTTCAGAATTATAGCTCTATAGTAGAGCTTGAAATCAGGGATAGTGATGCCTCCAGAAGTTCCTTTATTGTACAGGGTTGTTTTGGCTATCCTGGGTCTTTTGTTTTTCCATATGAAGTTGATTATTATCCTTTCAAGGTCAGTGAAGAATTGTGCTGGAATTTTAATGGGGATTGCATTGAATCTGTAGATTGCTTTTGGCAAGATTGCCATTTTTACTATGTTTATCCTACCTATCCAAGGGCATGGGAAATCTTTCCATTTTCTGGTATCTTCTTTAATTTCTTTCTTTAAAGACACAAAGTTCTTGCTATATAGATCTTTCGTTTGTTTGGTAAGCGTTACCCCAAGATCCTTTATATTGTTTGTGGCTATTATAAAGGGTGATGTTTCTCTGATTTCTTTCTCAGCCCCTTTCTCATCTGTATATAGTAGGGCTACTGATTTTTTTTTTTTTTTTTTTTAGTTTATCTTGTATCCTGCTAGTTTGCTGAAGGTGTTTATTAGCTGTAGGACTTCCCTGGTAGAGTTTTTTGGGTCGCTTATGTAAACTATCATCTGCAAATAGTGACAGTTTGACTTCTTCCTTTCCAATTTGTATCCCCTTCATCTCCTTTTGTTGTCTTGTTGCTTTAGCTAGAACTTCAAGTACAATATTGAAGAGATATGGAGAGAGGGGGCAGCCTTGTCTTGTTCCTGATTTTAGAGGAATCGTCTTAAGCTTCTCTTCAGTCAGTTTGATGTTGGCTGTTGGTTTGCTGTATATTGCTTTTATTATGTTTAGGTATGTTCCTGTTATCCCTGATCTCTCCAAAACCTTTATCATGAAAAGGTGTTGAATTTTGTCAAAGGCTTTTCCAGCATCTAATGAGATGATCATGTGTTTTTTTTTCTTTGTCAGTTTGTTTAATGATGGATCACATTGATATATTTTTGTATGTTGAACCTTCCCTGCAACCCAGGGATGAAGCCTACTTGGTCATGGTGGATGATTTCTCTGATGTGTTCTTCGATTCGATTTGCCAGTATATTATTGAGTGTTTTTGCATCAATGTTCATGAGAGATATTGGTCTATAGTGTTCTTTCTGAAACTCCTCATCTTCTGTCCTAGATGTATATTGCACAGCTGTGGAGTGGGTTTGGAGCAAGATAGGGATCTTTGGAGTCATTGTCCCATGGACTGGACTTTTCCCATTCTCTATCCCAGATAAACTTAGCACAGTTCATAGAGATGAACAGCACTGTTATGAAGAACACAGATGAACAGCCAAACTTGAATTATTGCACAACATCAAAAGCTGCAATGTTGGAGCATCGCAGCCACAATGTAATGAAAACTTGGAACACACCAGGTGGGTTTTGCCCTCCATTTTTCTGACAGGGTCTTACTCTGTAGCCCAGACTGGTTTGGATCTTAATCCTTTCTCATCTGTGAAGCAGAGGCAGTTACAGTAACCTCCTGTCTTAACTAGGGTTTCTATTGCTGTGATGAAACACCATGACCAAAGGCAAACTGGGAAGGAAAAGATTTATTTGGCTTACACTTTCAGATCATAGTCCTTCACTGGAGGAAGTCAGAACAGAAACTCAAGCAGGGATGGAACCTGGAGGTAGGAACTGCTGCATAGGCCATGGAGGAGGGCTACCTGCTGGCTTTCTCAGCCTGCTTTCTTATAGAACCTAGTACTACCAGCACAGGGATGGCATCATCTACCCTGGGCTGGGCCCTCCCCAACTGATCACTAATTAAGAAAATGCTTTACAGCTGCATCTCATGGAGGCATTTCCTCAACTGAGGCTCCTTCCTCTCTGCTGACTCTAGCTTGTGTCAAGTTGACACACAAAACCAGCCAGCACTCCTCCCTAGGTTGTTCTAGCATTGGATTTTCTGACATCTGATAAACATCCACAAGCGTTAATGTGTCCAGTATGAGCACAGTTCAATTTCAAGAAGCAAGAGCCAAAATGAACCCATAAAGGATCTTGCTCCCCCTGCTACTGGTTGGGAACTTTTGACTTCATAGCTGCTAGATTAACTTTTTGAGTTTTTAGTCTAAGTATGGTCTCCATGATCAAATTTTTTGCTCGTTACCCTAAATAGCAGTGGAGCTTATCCCTAAATAGCAGTGGAGATTTTTTTTTTTTCCTTCTAATAAGAATACTAGGCTATCGTTAATTGTTTTTGTTCTTTTGGCTTTTTGAGGGATGCACCATCCAGATCCCAAATAAGTCACACTCAGAATCTCATTCTTGTGAATGCCTGGCCTTAGCTCAGCTTGTTTCTAGCCAGCTTTCCTTAACTTAAATTATGCCGCCTACCTTTTGCCTCTGGGCTCTTCCCTTTTCTCCTGTTTATCTTACTGTCAATCTTACTCTGTGGGTGGTTGGCCCCTAGTGTCCTCCTCTCCCTGTTCTCTTGCTCCTTCTATTTATTCTCTTTCCTGCCAGCCCCACTTAGCCTTTCTTCTGCCTTGCCATTGGTCATTCAGCTCTTTATTAGACCAATCAGGGTTTTTGTTGTTGGTGGTGGGTTTTTTTGAGTTTGTATAACAACTATGGCTGCCCTAGAACTCAATTTGTACACCAGGCTAGCTCAAACTCCCAATCAGTTTTTTGTTTGTTTGTTTGTTTTTTAAGACAGGCAAAGTAACACAGCTCCACAGAGTTAAACAAATGCAACATAAAAGAATGTGACACATCATTAAACAAATGGTTCACAGCGTAAATGAATATAACACATATTAATATTCCGCAACACTAGGCTCAACACTAGGCTTAACTATTATCTTCCTGGGGATTAGGGAGCAGGTTTGGAACTTTTAGCACCTCAGAGAAAGACAAGTGGACTATGGGCATCTTATAAGAGGAGGTCTTATTATTAATTCATTAGAATTAATTCATTTGAGTGCCTGGAAGAACCCACTGAAGTTTAATGGTGCTGAACAAGAAGGGAATAGGACTGAATTTAACCTTGGTGGCCTTCTTAGGAAAGAAGAAGCCCTGACTCAGAGATCACAAGTGTGTGAATGAGCTGGGAGCAGCTCACTGGCTGGACACACATAGACAGCAATGCCTCTCTATTAGTCCCTACTGCATCCTGCACCCTCACTCTGGCCTCTGTCACTGAGACACTCCACTAGAAACTAGAGCTATCCTATGAAACTATAGTACCAGTCAATCTGGATACAGATTTCTCAGTTTTCTTCCCTCAAAGTTCAGAACTGCCAGGAAGCTTTGAGAACCTCGAGGCATACTGTCTCATCCCGTGCCCAGAGAGAAAGCTAAGATAGATCCAGGCTACCCCAAGGCAGCCCTAGAATTCCTGATCCCCCTGCCTCTGCCTACTGAGTGCTAGAATTACAGGCATGCACCGGCATACCTGGTTTATTTCCTCCGGTTTTCACTGCTGTGTATCAAGGGACTGAGGTCCACTGTGCAGAAATTTGACTCCCAAAAGATCAAAGAAACCCATCCCATTGACTCGACTGTTGAAACACTCTGCAATTTCCGATGTGGGTGTGTCACTCCTTTCTCTGTTCCCCTCAACTTCTATATTCATGCTTTTTAGGGCCTGCTGCCTGCTCTATTCCTTTGCCTTTGTTTAATTTTTTTTCTTAAATAACCGCCTTCTGTTATTGGCACGGTTTCACCCTTGTATGTAGCTTGGAGAAAGACAAAGAAGGTCCCTCCCGAAGTATACTCCCATTTTCCCCTTAAGAGTCACAAGCACAGGCCTCGCGCCCAAGCCAATGACTTTAGAAGAAGCAGTTTGCCACAGGATTTGAAATGCCCGGCTTGTCCGGGCCTTCGAGCAGTAGCAGCATCTGGCCAGCAGATGGCGCAGTGTATACAGGCGTCAAAGACTGGTATTTCTGAACTCTTTAAAATTCCGAGGTTGCTTGTTATATAAACATTTTAAATATGTACAGAAACCACCAGATTTATTTACAACTAATCGGCATTTTTGTAACTGTACAGGTGAAGTAATGCTTTTTTCTTTGTGGAACATTCATGATACAGATAAGACGAACCTTTCTGTCTCCTTCCCCAGAGAAAAATGTTGATCTTGCCAGATTTTTTTTTCTGTACACTAAAAATACTGGTGCACCTAGAAATACAATTTTTTTTCATAAACAGGGTCACACTTGATTTCGCATCTTTCCTTTGACATTTTATACTTATGTATCCCACGTTATTTATTTATTTTTTAAAAATAGCTGTTCAGGGTTGTAGTGAATAACCTCGCGCAACTTATGTGACTGGTGTCCTATTGAGCTGTGGTTGCTTTCAGTTTTTATGAATATATGGCTTTCTGTCCTATAGATGCTTCGCTGTAAAGATATGTGACACTTTCAATTGTTTCGAAAGGTTGAAAAAGAAAGAAATGAGTCAGAATAGAGGGCTGCCGCGTGACCTGAGCACTTCAGTCAGTCATAATAAGAACACTGTGGTCTGGCTGTCAGCTGTGCCCAGGGGAAAATGAGGGTGACGTGGTACATAGCAATGCCTCCTCTGCTGGCAGCTGCAGCCCGCGGGTACCGCAGCCCATTTGACTCAGAAGTCAAACCACTAGGAGAATGACAGCCAGTGTCTGCCGAGAAGGGAAACACGATTTGCTGTCCAGGCGGATGGTGTGACAGAGGCAGGCAGCCAGTGAGCTGAGGAGAGGCTGGAGCCAGCGGGCTGGAGGGATGTGGATTGGCAGCCCAGCCTTCAGACGCCCACTGGAGACACAGGCTCTGGCCGAGCAGCGGTTGTTCCTCGAGGGTGATGCGTGTTCTGTTTTTCACAGTTGGCCGCCCCATCCCTGTCCAGCGGACTCTGCACCCGACTCCAGAGCAGACTGAACAGCTGCATCAGACCTACATGGAGGAGCTAAGGAAACTATTTGATGAGCACAAAGGGAAGTACGGTATTCCAGAACACCAAACTCTGGTTTTTAAATGACTCTCCCCCTTCAAAGCATAAAGACAAAAGAGCACTGTTGAAAAAAAAAAATAAATATTTTAAATAAGTTCACTGTGGGTTTCTTTGTTGGACTACAGAATCAAATTGCAGCTGAAAGGTTTTAGTAATGGAAACAGCTGCAGTTATTTTATACTGTGATAAATAAAAATACGGCAAATGGAAGCCCCTGGTTGTAGCCCAAGGATAAATTGCTTACCTCCCATGGGCAAGGCTCTGAGTTAGCTCCTTAACACTGGAAAACAAAACTACAGTAGATGATCACAGGATAGGCTTGAAGATCATATCATCTTAAACCCTGACTTTAGGCAGACTGGATGGCTTTCCCAGTTCCTAAAAGAGTTAGGATTAATCAAGTGCTCAGAGCAAAAGCAAAGTACCTACTTCAGAGAGCCTCCAGACCCGGCACCAGCACGGCAGCTGATACTCAGCACAGCTGAGCACTTACAGACCATGTAACTTGCCTTGTAAAAATCGGAAGGGGTGGGGCTCAACTTGAACACTTTTGTTACTGAAAATTGCCAATTTTAATACTGGATGGTGTAGGTCCAATCAGTGCTTTTTGCCTTGGGTGGGTGTTTTGTTGTTGTTTTCACTTTGGTTTGGTTTGGGGTTCTTTAGTTTTTGTTTTTATCAGTGCAGAATTATGCCATGTTTGAAGCAGAATGAGTCTGACACTTGGAGTCCCAGATGGACAGGAGCCTGTGTCATTTCTCTTCATGTATTTGCAATGGAAAAGCAAGCCTATTTGGGAGATGGCCTCCTCCCTGTTTTAGGACATGTCAGAGGGTTGCTGGAGATATGCTACACAATAGAGTACTTGTCATTTTTCTTCCCCGGTGTACTTTTCACTTAGGACAAGCTCTGAAAGAAAGTGCCCTCTTTTCAGTTGGCCAGAGTTGAGTCTTCTCTGTTTGCTGGTACCTGGCACGGCCGGGTGCAATCAGAGGATGGAAAATAAGCACTTGTCCAGTGGGTGTAACAAATAACTTTGCTATAACGTGAAGACTTTTCTGAAGCTATTCCATAGTAATGAAACCTGTTAGAAGCCAAGATCTACACCAAATAGGAAAATTTCCTGTTATCTAATCGGCCCACACCAATAATCAACAGTGCTACCCATTGTCATAAGCAGGCCAGGTTTCTACTGTTTAGTCACTTATCATTAGGGAAGAAGAATGGCACTAACACCAGCGTCCTTTCCAGACACCTCCAGCACAGGATGCTTGCTTCTTTGTCTTCTGCACGGTAGCGACTAATGAGTCAATCTATCCAATCACAGTTTGTTCCAATATTCCTATATTTTCAGGCTTCCAGTTTTGATTTTTATCCCTAAAAAGCAATGGAGACTTCTTTTTTAACTTTCTAACAATAGTGCTAGGCTTAAATATTAACTTCCTGGGGAGAAGAGGGTGGGGCTGGAACGTTCAAGTGGGCTATGGGTATCTTACAGGAGGAGGTCTTATGATTCATTCATTAGAAAAGGGTGTATTTGAGTGCCTGGATATGTTTTTATTTTTAATTATGTGTAGCTCTCCCACACACACACGACACTGTATTTGTATGTATATAAATGACTACAAGTGCCTGTGGAGTCCAGAAGACCAGGTTGGACCCCCCCCCTCGCCCCCCCGGAGCTGAAGTTACAAGTAGTTGGGAGCCACCTACCAAACTCAGGTCTTCCTGGAGAGCAGCAAGGCTCTTACAAGATGAGCTATCTGCGGGACATTTCAGAAGGGGGGCAGAAAGACTATAAGAGACAGAGGAATTCACTGTGAAACCAAACCTCCCAAACAGGAGCTGAATAAGGACAATACTAATAATGCTAAAGCTGACAAAAGGAAGACTATGTGGCCCCAACCCTACATAAAAGGACAGGTAGCTAAGGAATAGTAAGAATGGGAGCAATAGTCTTCCCCAGGGAAGAGCACACCAACTGGGTATCCAATAGCAAATGGTCAGCCTTGAAAACATACGTACAAGTGACATTATACAGACTAAACGAGGTTATATGTATTTAGGAAGATATATATACATGTACATATATGCATATAGTAAGAAGTAATGGGGGAAAGGCCATGAATTTGAAAGGGAGCATAGAGAGGTATCTGGGAGGGTTGGAAGGAGAAAAGGGAGGGGAAATGTTATTATAACATAATCTCTAAAATAAACAATAGAATATTCAAATACTTTAAAGATTAAAAAATGATGAGCTGTCTTAGTTAGGGTTACTATTGCTGTGATGAAACACCATGACCAAAAGCAAACTTGGGGAGGAAAGGGTTTATTCAGCTTACACTTCCATAGCACTAAAGGAAGTCAGAATAGAAACTCAAGCAGAGCAGGAACCTGGAGGCAGGAGCTGATGCAGAAGCCATGGAGGGGTGTTGCTTATTGGCTTGCTTCCCCATGGCTTGCTCAGCCTACTGTTTTAAAGAATCCAGGACTACCAGCCTAGGAATGGCCCCAGCTACAATGGGCCATACCCTCCTAGTCAATCACTAATTTAAAAAATGCCCTACAGGCTTACAAACAGCCCAGCCTTGTGGAGGCATCTTTTCAGTTGAGATTCCCACCTCACAGATGACTTTAGCTTGTGTCCAGTTGACATTAAAACTATCCAGCACACTTAGGCTTTCATGGCAGGCACTTTACAAACCAAGGTGTCTTTCTAGCCTCTATTTTTGTTTTTTGAGATAAAATCTGGAATATCCCAGGCTGGCCTTGAACTTAGCTGCCTTCTTGTGTAGCTAAGAATGACCTTGCACTTACAGTCTTCCTGAGTGCTACTTAGGCAAGCACTTAGCCAACAGAGAGCCAGCTAGATAAGATACTACACACAGGCCTGGGGATGGTGCTCCATTGGTAGAGTATTTACCTGATTATTCCCTTCCTGTGTGGGTAATAGCTAATCTTAGAAAGGATATGTAAATTAGTAGTTATTCATCTGAAAAACACCACTAGGGGCTAGGGAAGGAGCTCAGCCGTGTAGACTCTTTTCCTAGCATGCCCAAAGCCCTGGATTACAACCCCAGTCCTGCATAAGCCTTTAATGGTGGTGCATGCCTGTGGTCCTGGCACTCAGGACTTGGTGACAGAAAGACCAGAAGTTTAAGATCATCCACAACTACAGTGAGAAGTTTGAAGCCAGCCTGAGATATGTGAGACCTTGTCTCACAAAGCAAACAAACAAAAAGAATAAAAATGTCACTTCTACTTTTCAGAAGTAGTTCATATTGAGAGATCAGCTAACTTGTTGATTTTAACTATTTTTTAAAAAGAATATGTGGGTTTTACTGTTTTGTAGATGAAAACACACATCTGTTTGTTTGTTTACTGGGAGCAAGGCAGGCAGAAAGGGACATGCATCTGGACTGAGTATGGAGGCCATGGCACACATGGATAGGGGACCAAGAACCACTTCCTAGAATCAGTTCTCTCCCTCTATTGTGTGGACTCTGGGGATCAAACTCAGGTCATCAGTCTTGTCAGCAAGTGCCTTTACTCTCTGATACTCTCTGAGCCTCCCCCGCCCCCTTCAGAGGATGTGGGCAATAGCATCCCATGGGCTGGGGTCCTGGGCTGAATAAAAAAGAGAAAAGAAAGAAATGTGATCTCAAAACCAGCTGGTTTGGAACTCGCCATCCTCCAGCCTCTACCTCTCAAGTGCTGGGATTATTGGCGTGCTCTACTACACCTGACTGAAATCATCTTTTTAATATTTTACACATGTGTGAGATTACATGGCGCTTGTTCAGTTCCTGGCTATTCCTGTCATGTTCCTGAACCCCTCCTACATTAGCAACCCCATGGACATGGCAGCCACCCTCTCAGCTCTGGGGACAGCACCTGGGATTCACTTGGGTAGCAAAATGTTTTGCACACCACTAAAAATGGGTAGGGTGAATATTTTTATAAATGGACCCATTTGTTGATAAAGCTAAAATGTGTAGAAGAAAACACCTGTTTGATTAAAAGTCTCGATTTCCCTGTCGTCAATATTGCACCATTAGTTAAGCAAAGGTTCATATTTCCCAAACCATATTTTAAAGTTATATTATTTCCTCTCTCTATATATGTATACCTCCAGTTACCTTTTGACATTTTCTTTCCACAAGACAATTGCTCCATATTCCAGTTTTTCAAAAGGAATTCTCAGGTTTCATATGTCCTTCTGAAAGACAAAAAAGGTAATGTTAATGATGGACTAACCTGGAAACCAATATCTGTTCCTTGGAATTTGCTAACTTCCTCTCACAAGGCCCTGAGATAACAAGAATTCACACTGCCCCTCCTTTCCTGTGAGTCAGCAGGTGGTGAATAGGGTGTAGTGAGATAGTCCTTCTGTGGCACTGACCACGCCCATTGTGGGGTGGAGTCATGGGCAGAAGTGACCTGTGGAAGGAGGTCGGAGAGAGAGCCGGGAAAAGCTCTCTTGCTGGCTGACTCGGACAGGAGAGCATCGGGTGGAATTCCCTGGTGTTCATCTGTCTAGGTTGTAAGTTATTTCTCCCTGAATAAACATCTATTCGGCCTATTTGTTTATCCTGATCCTTATTTAACTGTAATATCTGGTGTCAGAAGCTAGATTAGGATTTTCACGGGACCTGGGTTTCACCCAGGCGGCAGATGCCGCTCCCCTCCCCCACCTTCCCCAATGGGCAGGGTCCCTTGCCTAACCAGGTGGACTCAACACAGCTTTGGGACATTTGCCTCTTCCTTACGGCAAAGGGGATCTTTGCCGCCAAAGCGGACCTGAGAAGGCACTCACCGCTTCTCATTTTTTGCCCATTTCCGCACTGCACTTTGCATTCGAGCAGAGCTGCTCAGCACCCGCCCAGCTTGCATGTTTTCCCGCCCTTAGTCTTGTGTTCCCCGTAATTCCACAAGTTTCCTTTTATCAAAATTTTGCTTGTCATAGTTTGTTAAGAGCTATTCTACAGGGACCGTAATCAGAAGGATCGTCTGCTGCCGGACCATATTTGGCGGTACACTTC